CTAATTCTTAGACCATTTGTTGAAGTTTCTTAGTCATTTGTCAGAATTTGCTATTCTGGATTTGTCAGGAACTTCCTGAGCTTCAGAAAGAAACAGAAATCCAGATCCAGGAGGCACAGAGAGACCCCAACAAAATCAACCCAAGGAGGTACACATCAAAATGCATAGTAATTAAAATGGCAAAAGGTAGTGATAAAGAGAATTTTTAAAACAACAAGAGAAAAGAAAACAGTTACATACAAGGGAAATCCCATAAGTCTATCAGCTGATTTTTTAGCAGAAGCTTTGCAGGCCAGAAGGGGTGGCATGATATATTTAAAGTGCTGAAAGAAAAAACCTGAACCAAGAAAAGTCTACCAAACAAGGCTATCATTCAGAATGGAAGGACAGATAAAGAGTTTCCCAGACAAACAAAAGTTAAAGAAAATCATCACCACTAAACCAGCCTTACAAGAAATGTTAAAGGGGGTAGAAAGGAAAGAAGCAAGAGTAAGAAAAGTAGGAAGCACAAAAGCTGTAAAATTAAGTATATCTATAAAAACCGTCAAGGGATTCACAAAATAAAAGGATGTAAAGTATGATACCATACACCTAAAACATGGGGGGTGAGTAAAAATTTAGTGTTTTTAGAATGGGTTCAAACTTAAATGACCATCAACTTAATTTAGACTGCTATATGCATAAGATGTTATATATAAAACTAATGGTAACCACAAATCAAATACTGGTAGTAGATATGCAAAAAGTAAAGAGAAAGGGATCCAAGTATATCACTAAAGAAAGCCAGCAAACAGGTGCCTGGGTGGCTCAGTCAGTTAAGTGTCTGCCTTCCGCTTGGGTCATGATCTCGGGGTCCTGGGATCGAGCCCCGCATCGGGCTCCCTGCTCCGCGGGGAGGCTGCTTCTCCCTCTCCCACTCCCCCTGCTTGTGTTCCCTCTCTCTCTGACAAATAAATAAATAAATAAATAAATAATCTTAAAAAAAAAAAAAGAAAGTGAAGGGATGAAAAAGCATTTGCCATGCAAATGCAAGTGAAAATAAAGCCAGGTTAGCAACACTTAGACAAAATAGATTTTAGAATTATTGATGCAATAGTATTAACCAGAACAAAAAATAATATCATATATTTTCTTTTCTTTTCTTTTCTTTTTTAAGATTTTATGTATTTATTTGACAGAGAGAGACACAGCGAGAGCAGGAACACAAGCAGGGGGAGCGGTAGAGGGAGAAGCAGGTCTCCCACCCGATGTGGGGCTCGATCCCAGGACCCTGGGATCATGACCTGAGCCGAAGCCAGACGCCTAACGACTGAGCCACCCAGGTGCCCCTCATATATTTTCTTGTAGACTGTCTTCATGACTCAGGAGAAAAGATATTTCTTCTCCTTGAAATTACTGTCTGTATTATACTCTGCATCCCACCCTTTTCCACATTCGCCACTCATTTATTTGTCCTCCTCTTTGTCTATCAGACTTAAAAGGCATTCCCTTGCACTGTGTCTCTCTGACTTTCGTGTCCTCTAAATACAAATATGATATTTAGCCTTGTCTATTTCACATCTGACTGCAGAGGCAGCTGCAGCCATCAAGCAAAATGAACTGGCTTCACTGTCAGATTGTGGCCTCTTCCCTCTAATCATCCTTCAGGCTAACTAGCCAGCCACTAAGTGCCCATATCCAACCTCAACTAAGATCCTGAGTCTGTTCCAAATGCCCTCCTAAATCCTCAATCCAATGTCTCCACTTGAATGTCTCAAATGCACCTTGAGGTCATATTCCAACAACCCCAATTTCAGTTAATAGTCTTGCTATCCAAACAAGTTCAAAACCCAGATTCAGCCTTTGGCCATAATACTCTACACACAGTGCTGAGAAATTGTGACTGCCTCGAGTAAGTCTGCTCTGATGTATGGGTGTCTCTCTTTTGTGATGAGTCCTAGTGTTATTAATGTTTTCTATCAAATACCATTCTCCAAGCATCTTAGACACTGTCAGCATGCAATGGTCATCATTGGGTAGTTGATTATTTCATGTACTATTGAAACACATTTGTATCCTATTTCTATTGCTATTTCTGCGTTTATTAGCTAGAAATTCTAAAGAAGCATAAAGAATTTTCCATAATCTTCTGTTCAGTTACTTCTATTCAATACCAAAAAGGGAAGAAAGAGCTTGATACCTTTGCTCTAATTAGGAATTTCCAGAATAATTATTTGGATCACTAACATCATCCTCAAACAACAGCCACATGTTTTTTGTTTTGGTTTTTTAGAGAGAGAGTGAGTGGGGGGAGGGTGGTGGAGGGGCAGAGAGAATCAGGTGTTTTTTAAAAATATATTTATTTTAGACAGAAAGAGCACGTGAGTTGGGGAAGAGGCAAAGGGAGAGGGAGGGAGAATCCTCAAGTTGACTCTGCTGAGTGCAGAGCCTGATGCAAGGCTCAGTCTCAGAACCCTGAGATGATGACACCAGCTGAAACCAAGAGTTGGACACTCAAACCACTAAGCCACCCAGGCGCCCCAGAATGTTTATCTCAGGAATAAGATGCCCCTTTGCACATGTGCTCAGACTGTGATCATAGCAGCTACTATCACAGCAGGAAAAAAAACATTTGTCAAGTGGCTCTTCTTTTCAGGTAAGTCTAAGATTTTAAAATTAATTGTAACTGTCTTAGTTTGTTAGGGCTGCTATAAGGAAATGCCATAGACCAAGTGGCTTATAAACAACAGAAATTTAATTTCTCACAGTTGTGGAGGTTGGAAGTCCAAGATCAAGGTGCTGGCACATTTGGTGTCTACTGAGAGCCCATTTTCTGGCTTACAGACAGCTTCTTCTTGCTATGTCCTCACATGGTGGATGGGGTAAGGAAACTCCCTAGGATCTCTTTTATAAGGGTACTAATTCCATTACTAAGGCAGAGCCCTCATGACCTAATCACCTCCCTAAGGTCCCATCTCTTAATACCATCACAATAGGCATTAGGTTTTCAACATATGCATTGAGGGGGATACAAATATTCAGCCCATAGCAGTACCTGTGTTATAGGAGATTCAGCTAGAAATATATGGAGGGGAGAAGCAGGTGAGATTGCTGGGGTTGGAATACTGAGACGTATCCATGCAGGGAAGAATCTCTGTGTGGGAAACAGGCAAAAGGCCACATAATCTGCTGCTTCTGCTGCTTCTGCTGCTTCTTTTTTTTAGGGGGGTAGGGGCAGAGGGAAAGGAAGAGAGAGAATCTTAAGCAGGCTCCACGCCCAGTGCAGAACGCAATGTGGGGCTCAATCTCACAACCCTGACATGATGACCTGAGCAGAAATCAAGAGTTAGATGCTTAACTGCCTGAGCCACCCAGGCGCCCCATCTGTTTCCTTCTGACATTTCCCTTGCCGTGACCCTAGCTGAATTCTTTTTCCTTGTCCCTTGACTGCACATACCAAAGCCCACAAAACTGACTCTGAAGCTTTGATGAACATATAGTTGAAGATCAATATTTGTTGGTTGCCAACTACAGAAAGCATGCATTTCATGACTAACACTGCAGTGTGTACATTCAGGTTTTTCTTTGGATTCCTGTTCTGCTGAATGGAATCTATAATATATTGCCTTAGTTTTAGGGAATATTTTTTAATAGAAAGGGCAGAATAAATACAAAGACACTTGGATAATAATAATCTTAAAATTATAAAATATGTCAAACCTCTCATTTTAGGTAAATTAAATCTATCATATATTCCACATAAAATTTGAAAGAACTTCATAAACTTATTTAAAATCTTACAGAAAACAAAATTTTCACTATTCTCTGTTTCAGGGACACACAACATTTTCCTCTCCAATATCCCAGTAATGGCTTGCGTGAAGTCTTTTCTCTCTTGACCCTGAGCCAACTCACAAAGTTGACTCTAAAGCTTCAGTCTATTTGAAGAGCAACAAGATAATGTCTATTAGTTCGAAGCTCTGAGTGAAGGTACTTTGTATCTAAGTGACACTATGATATAACATTATATCTTGTGTTACTCCTTCATACAGTGAATGCAGGAATAAGTCCCCCTTGTGGAGTCTTTAAGCAACACTACAACAAGGCTGTGTAAATTGTACTTTCAGTGGCATATGAAATTAAAGGATTCATTACATTCAGAGCTCCTAGAAGAGGGAGGCACCATACCCCATACAAGGGGCCAGATGGGAGGCCAGATGGAGCCAGGGAACTGGATGGAGCCCACAGACAGAGTGAGGACCCGTAGGCAAGTGTCATTATTGGGAGTCAAGGTGGGTACACAGACAAATGACAAGGGAATTTCATTAATACACTGGAATGTCACTAGATCACAGGGAAGGACAAGAAAAGGAATTTGTATAGGGGACTAACCTTGTTATCACACTGGTATACCTGGTCACGTGGGTGGAGTGCTCACAGCCTGTTTGTAGGATGTTGAGGCAGCAGGAAAATGTGGTTTTAAAAATTTACAATACAGGGGCGCCTGGGTGGCTCAGTCATTAAGCATCTGCCTTCTGCTCAGGTGGGATCCAGCCCCGCATCGGGCTCCCTGCTCAGCGGGAAGCCTGCTTCTCCCTCTCCCACTCCCCCTGCTTGTGTTCCCTCTCTCACTGTGTCTCTCTCTGTCAAGTAAATAAATAGAATCTTAAAAAAAAAAAAATTTACAATACAGCGTGCCCGCTTGCTCCATTAGAAACTTCTAAAATACAGATACAGATAACTCAATTTGGGAAATTTCGGTGCGTCCCCTTCAGGAGTATCCGATGCTGCCCCCTTCTTCTTTGGAGCCTCTGCACACCCTTTCCCAGTGTCCCTGTCCTGGACTCTGGGCCCTTGGCTCCTGGAAAGAGCAGAGGATTCCTCGCTGGGCCAGAGGCAGGACAAAAACTACATTACCCAGAAGGCTGTGCCGCGCGAAGGGGCGTTGCTGGGCCCCCGCTGGCGGGGGCGGGACTTCCGGTGCCGCGGGTGGGCGTATGCTCGTGACGTGACGGGTGGGTGCCTGCGGGTGAGTTCCCGGTGGCTCCTCGGGCCGGAGCGGGGAACGGAGGCGAGGGGCTTCGCCCGCATCTCTTTGGACCCTGGGGGAGGGCCGGCTAAGCCCGCGGGAGCCCCGCGGCGTCCTCGCGCGGCCCTGCTGTCCCCGCGGCCCGATGGCGCCGCCCGTGGACCCGGCGCAGGTGAGTGGGCGTGCGGGGCGGCAGTGGCCTGTGACCCTGCGCCTCGCCGCACCCCTGCCGCTGTCCCTCGGCCCTCGGGGTGGGTCCCGCTCGGCTCCGGAAGGCAGGTCGAGGGCTACGTGCGGTAGCGCCCATTTCCGGCAACCGGCGGGACGCTGTGTGGAAGCGAGCGGAGTGGCTTCTACAACCCCCTCCCCGCCCCCCGCCCCCCACCCCCCACCGTGTGTCCCGACCCGCAGCCCCACGACCCCACTGTGGGTTCCGGCCGCGCCCCTTCCTGAGGCCGTGCCCTTGAGTGAGCCCCCCTCTTGCGCTGGACTTGGGTGCTCTCGGGTGTAAAGGAGAAGAGTGTTGACAGTTCCTCGCCCTGCGCTGAGGGAACTAGAAAGCGTCTGTGGGTGGCGTGTCCGCCGGTGTCCAGCAGGGTCCTGGGAGCATCGCTCTGGGAGCGCGTTCCTCGGAGATGCTTCCCGAGTCTGTGTTGGTCTCGGCTCAGCACAGCGGGAGTCTGGCCCTTGCACCTTCCTGGCCTCTAGCCTTTGGAGGTAGGGGCTAGGGTGGAGGAGAGGCAGTAGGTTTTTGGAATTGTTGCTGTGCCAGGGCAGAAAAGGTGCAAGGGCAGGCTGGGAGCCAGGAAGGCCAAGCAATTTGTCTTTCCGTTTACAGCAAATGGAACTGACTTTCCCCTGACAGTAGTGAGTCTGTTTTCTTGTTTAAGACATTCCGTTAGATTTGACACGTGAGTCCATTCGAATGGTCAGTGATGACAGTGTTCAGGAGTGTTGGCGTCCCTTTGGGCACAGATGCACAGGGGGACCCGGGTAAGTCCCTAGCAGTCACCTCAGGTACCCTCTTCATAGCCTTGATCACCGTCAGCACTGTCTTACTCCCATGCACGCGGCTCCCTCCCTCTTTATTCCAGGCCCACTCCAGTGTGCCATCCTGAAAGACAGCTTCCATGTTGCCCCATGTAAAGTGGACTACAAGTAGTCTCCTCGCTCTGTTTTCTTGTCTTTGGAATCTTTAGGGCCCTCTGACATTGTCTTGCTGATTTTAGTTGCTTGTTTAGGATCTGTTTCCAGCCCCGGATCGTGAGCGCCTGTTGCTGCCCTATGCCAAGACCTAGAACGGCCTAGGCTTGTAAAAGGTACTCAATAAATGGTTGAATGAGTGAATGGGTCTCCCCCTCAGGGGCTCCCATCATACTTGTATTAAATGCACACAGCCCTCACCGGGGCCCTCAGGGCCCTGCTCCATCTGCCCCTGAGACTTACCTCAGTGCTCCCTTTCCCTTCTTCCCTTGCTCACTGCACCCAGCTGGGTGGTCCTGAACTTGTCAAACTCCTTCCCATTTTGCAGCCTTTGCCCTTGCACTTCCATCCCAGGCCCTGTCCCCAGGTCCCTGCAGGGCTGTCTGTCCGTATTCCTTCTGTGTATCCATGCCACCGCTTAGAATAGCCTTTCGTGGCTGTTTTATTTCTAGTGAAGGTGCCCCTGGCCTCCACCTGCCTATTTTCTGATAATTCTGTCATCTTTTGCTGGGTGTTCAGATCCTGTCTCTGCTCCTTAAATGTGAGATTGTGGGCAACTTTCTAGAGCTGCCTGAGCCTCAGGCTGCTGGAGGTAATGGTGGCATCGACCTCATGGGCTGTGGGAGGATTAGGAGAAGTCACGAAATACATTGAACACATTCCAGGCCAGGCACTCCACTGTTTTCCATGTGAACATTTTCTCTTTACTTATCAGAACTGCCTGGTGAAGTGGGAAGGATTATTGTACTGATGTGGAAATCAAGGCTTAGAGAAATGATGGGATGTCCGCCCCATGGTCACAGCTGGCAACTGTCAGATTCAAGAGTCTTAATTTGGTCTCTGGGAGTCTGGCTCCAGAACAGGGAATTTTTAATCACTTTATCTCAGTGTGTGAAGCCCTCAGCTGGGGTGGCCACACGGGGAGGACCAAGGAGACTCGGCTGCTATTGCTGCAGTTCTCATTGTTGGAATTATCATCATGATCAATTTCCCTGTTCCTCTGATGTCCCAGACCACCTGTTGTCTGCCTCCACTGTCCTCATGGGAATGCTACTGTCTTGTCATCTCCAGCGGCTTCCCAGGGGAGGTTTTTCTCTCAGCCATAATTGCATTATGTCCAAAGGCTGCATCTCTCTCCCCCTCGAGCCCAGCACAGAGCTCTGCCCTCAGGAGGCCTCAGTGATGCAGGCCTGGGTCTCTCTAAATCTTGACCAGAGACTGAGTTACAGGGTTCTGACCCCATCCAACAGCACAAGGCCAATATCATTACTTCTGTTTGACTTTCCAGGTTTTGGTTACCTTCAAGGATGTGGCTGTGACCTTCACCCAGGAAGAGTGGGGACAGCTGGACCTGGACCAGAGGGCCCTGTACCAGGAAGTGATGCTGGAGACTTGTGGGCTTCTGGGCTCACTGGGTAAGGGCTCACCTCTCAATCCTGTGGGGTAACCCAGCCTTCTTGATTCCTGGCTGATCAAGAAGGTCACAGGAGTCATCTTCCCTCTTCCCTGAAGACCCTGCAGTTTTCTGGTTCCTTCTCTTCCTACCTGGCCTCCCTCCATCAGGTCTCCGTCAGGGATCATTGGAATAGAAACAACCTACTTCTGAACACAAACCCTCACCCCAGTACCCAGCACACTCAAGTTGCCGTCTGACCTCCATATTCCAGACTGCACAGGAGCCTGGTTGGGTCAGGCGTCCAGGGCCCAGTTAGCAGGGCTGTGAGTGATGGGCTGTTCTCAGGAGAGAGGGTGAGTCAGGCAGATCCCCATATGGCATTCGTCATCAGTGCCCCCCGTGGGATCTTCCTAAACAACATGGTAGCTATAAAAAGACCCCTGGTGTCTCCATGATCATCACCTGTTCTTCTGAGGCCTGGGTCACAGTCCTCCACTGAGGTAGGAGGTGCTTTAGAAAGTGCACAGGAATGGCTAAAATGCCAGAGGTGGACACCTTGAGAAAGCCAGTCCTTTAACCTCCTCGGTCTGGAAGGCTGATTGGTGTCAAGAGAAAGTCTCAGAACAGTGCTGAGTATTTCATGTGCCCTAATTGTGGTTAATTTTTCTCTTCAACAGAAGGGACAGCTTCTAGCTCACAGTCCTGAACTATCTACATGAACTTGCTAGGGCTCTGATGGCATTACTTTGATTTTGTTGTTGTGTTTTGATGGTAACCTGCCATTTGTGGAGAGTGAACTTGACTTTGCTCATTTACCAGAGCAAAACAGAGTTCCCTTTTAGAACAAAATACTTAACAAAAATTAAAAGTGGGGCCGGTTAAAGAGAAGCCACCAGTGACAATGGCACCGTGTGTGTGAGAATGCAGACCATTCACTCTGAGTTCAGGTGGGAAGGCAGACGTCAATTCTTAGATGAATTGTGATGAGTCATACATAGAAATATTAGGGGACCTTAGGAGTATGTAGCCAGGTGGTCATAATCCATCATGGGTGCTTCAAAAAAGGCATCTCAGGAAGTGACATTGGAACTGAGCCTTGAAGCTTGGAGGGGAGGTGGAGGAGGGGCTCCAGGTGGAGGAACCAGTACAAGAAAAGGCCCTAAGGTGAGAGGGGGCTCAACTGGCAGAGCCAAAGGAACGTCTGGTTCACCTTTTCTCCTGCCCCTCCCTGAGCTCCGGGCCAGGCATGTAGGACACATCGATGACTGTTACCGAGACTTGTCCGAATGAGTCCTGGGCTGAGGATCAGAATCTGCTACTTGATAGACTTCAGTGGGTCCTGGTGCCTCAATCCTTGAAATTCTGTACAGAACCCACCTATCTCTGTTGAGCTCTATCTGGCTGCACGAAACAGAAAAGCAAGCTTGAAACTGGCTTCCCCTGAAGGAAATTTCCCATCTCACCTAATGAGAATCCCCAGGGTGGGGCTGGCCCCCAGGTTGAAGGCTGCAGCTACATAGTTCTATCCTCAGTGATGTGAAGGTTCTCTCTGCTCCTCTCCCTGGACCAGGCATCTCCCTGTTCCTCAGGCTGGCTCCCTGTGGGCCTGTGGGGTGCTGCAGCCAGGGTTGAGAAAGCAGCCCCCTTGTTCAACCTCCCCTCACATTGGAATAAAGGCTTTGTCTTCAGCTCAGGTTACCTGCCTCTCTCAGATTACCAGTGATCAGAGATGCCATTCACCAGTTTCCTCCCCTGGCAGTTTTTAGTTCTCTCTGGGAGAGAGAATTCCCTAGGGAGAGCCCAGAAATACTGTTGTTTAGGCCCAAGCAATTTTGTTTCTTTTGGTTTGAGGTTGGAATCAAGCATCCCTAAGTGGTTCTCAAGTACAGGGTGTTTGAGAACAGTGACTTAGATTAATTACAGAATCCCTTCTGGAAGGAGGGGCTCCCCTTCCCAGGGTCCCATGGCTGTGTGTGAAAGTGGTGTGCCCGAGTAGGATTGGCTTCTACCAATGAGGTTCAAGGACATTGATGTTGTCTGGACAGACAGCACCACCCTCTATGGCAGTTGCAGCCCAAGAATGGGATTTGTGCAGTTGGGTTTCCAGGTCACAGGTCAGCATTTTCTTCACAGCTTCATTCAGTTCTTGTCCCTGCCATGAAGTCCCAGAAGGGATGGAGATACTGCTTTCTTCTCATACACCATGACCTATTTCCTTCTCCATCAACAGGGCATCCGGTTCCCAAACCAGAGTTGACCCACCTACTGGAGCATGGGCAGGAGCTATGGACAGGAAAGAGAGGCCTCTCACGTAGCACCTGCTCAGGTAGGAGGGGACAGCTGGTCAGGTGGGGTCATGGGAGCCTTCAGCATGCAAGCCTCTGAACTTCTTTGTGAAACTCTTAGTGACCTCTTGGTCACATTCATGGAGAACATGAATGAGATGGAGTCTCCTAGTCTCTCAGATGAGGAAATCATGCTTTGAAGAAAAAAGTAACCTGTTCAAGATCACTCACTTGGTAGAGGCAGGACTGGACCAATGGTTTTCTGGCTCCAGAGCTCTCTTAACCACGACATGAGGCCTCCCAGCAGAGCAGAAGCTTGTCTTTTATACCATTTGTCCCTGAGTGTCCCTCCATCCCTCTTCTTCAGTCTTAATTCTCTTCCTTTTATGGTGATCCCACTTCAGTGTTGGCTTCACCAGGCATCTGGGGCCCTTTCTTCCTTTAATTGTTCAGCACTCTCCAAGAGTGACTCTACCCATGCTTGCTCCTTCCATTCCAACCCAGTGCTCCCTTCCTCTTTCTCTCTCTGGCAGTTCTGATTCTCCATTAGGACCTAGCTCACGGGACACCTCTGGGAAGATGACCTCTTTTTCGCCCCAGTCCTGTTCGGTGCCACTTCTGTGTACTCTCTTAACACCAAGAGATGTCAATTCTTGAAGCAAACACCCCACAGACAGTGTTATGTCCTCCCTCCTCCCCTCTGGACTGTGAGGAGGGGTCTCCACTCCAGATCCTCAGTTCCCTGGTCTAGCCTGTCCTCTGGATTTTCCCTTTAATGGTGTCAAGGGTACAAGGACCAGAGACAGTCATTGGAAATCCAGGACACAGAGTTGTGGGACACAGCAATCCCAGGGTACTGTTTCATCCTCACTTTCCCACTGAAGTGTTGAATTTGTTTCTTCTGTATTGAGTCACTAAAAGTTCCCCTCTCTGTGTTGGCTTCTCTGCAGGTGACAGTGCAAAACTTCAGACCAGGGACCCAAGCACTTCTCAGCTGATTTTGTCTGAGGGAGCCTTGCTCCAGGGAAGCCTGACTCAGGGATCTTCAAGGGACTCCAAGTTGGCGCACGCCAGGGATTGGGAAGGGCTTTTAGAAATGCAGAAAAGTCAATTGAAGCCTGGGACAGATGATCAAAAGGAGACCCATCTTGGGAGAATGAGCCTTGAAGATGACGGTTTGGGGACAGATGATAGTCTGCACTCTCAGGGACATGTTCTCTGTGAATGTGACCCACAGGGACCAGGTAAAGGCCACATGATTCATGCAGGGAATAATCTCTACAAATGCAAGCAGTGTGGGAAAGGTTTTAACCGGAAGTGGTACCTTGTTCGACATCAGCGGGTTCACACTGGAATGAAGCCCTATGAGTGCAACGCATGTGGGAAAGCCTTTAGCCAGAGCTCAACCCTTATTCGGCACTACCTCATTCACACCGGGGAGAAACCATACAAGTGCATGGAGTGTGGGAAGGCCTTCAAACGCAGGTCCTACCTCATGCAGCACCATCCGATTCACACTGGAGAGAAGCCCTACGAGTGTAGTCAGTGTCGAAAGGCCTTCACCCACCGCTCTACTTTTATTCGGCATAACAGGACCCACACCGGAGAAAAACCCTTTGAGTGCAAAGAATGTGAGAAATCATTCAGCAACAGAGCACACCTGATTCAGCACTACATCATCCACACTGGAGAAAAGCCCTACGATTGCATGGAGTGTGGGAAGGCCTTCAGATGCAGCTCAGAACTCATGCAGCACCAGCGGATTCACACTGGGGAGAAGCCCTACGAGTGTGCCCAGTGTGGGAAAGCCTTTCATCGGAGCACCTACCTCATTCAGCACTCCATCATCCACACGGGGGAGACGCCATACAAGTGCCTCGAATGTGGGAAGGCCTTCAAACGCAGGTCACACCTTCTGCAGCACCAGCGGGTTCATACTTGAGAGAAGCCCTCTCAGTGCCATGAATGTAGAAAGGCCTTCACCCACTGCTCCTGCTCTTTTGTCCTTCATAAGGAGATGCACACTGGAGGAAAAAAAACAAAAACAAAAACCCTTTCAGTGTAAAGAATTTTTGTTGGCTCTTCAAACACATGAGTAGTCACACTGGAGATGAGGCCTGTGATGCAGTGAACACGAGAAAGCCTCCAGCCACTGCTCTGCCCCCACTCATCATTGGATTCATACCAGAGAGAATTTCGAGAAGGCAGGTCACCCATGGTCCACCTCTGTCAACATCAGAAAAAGCCCCAGGGGGAAACATTCTGAACGCAACTACTGAGGAGTCTTTAGGCAGAAGAAGACTCTTACTTACCATTTGAGAATCATAATGAACAGGAACCACATCGATGTCATTGCTGTGAGAAAACCTGTGGACAGGTCAGCACTTACTGTTATGTCAAGAGTCAGATGGAAGGGGACACAGCGTGGGCCTTAATGTGCCCACAAGAAGCATGTGGGAGACAGACAGTGGGCACTGTGCACTTACAAAGACCTCCGGCCACCGATCTGCTCCTTGGTTGACACTTAGAAAAGCCATCTCAGCATTATTTTTAAAAGAATAAAAAGAAGGGAATGGAAACCTAGACCCTAAACTGAAAAAACAAGTGTCTTCACAAACTCTTTCAGATTTCCCTGCCAAACCTATTAGTTTTTCATCAGTTTTGTTATTTTGGTGGGGGAATGTTTGAGAGAAAGGGTCTCAGCCCTTTGTTTTTGTGTATTCCCTGCTGTCCTGTGTCAGGAAGCTTGCACAGTGAGGACAGCTCTACAGATGTTTGCTGGAAGCCTTGCTCCACATCTCCGCCCACAAGGAGCATCATTCTTCGTGAGAAATATCAAGGCTGAGTCATGAGATACTGGAACTTAGAAGAAGTTAGACTTCCGAAAATAACATCACGTGCCACTTGCTTCTGATGTTGTCTGAGAGAAGGATCTGCATACAACAGCCACGTTAAAACATGCTCCCTCCAGACTGTTTAAGGCTTTGATATTTATAAGTAAAACTCCTTGTTTGTGTGGTTTTTAAATGCCTGATGTTCTCCCTCACTTGTTTATTCCATTCTGCTCTTCTGTTTTCTGTATTTTTCCCCTGATGGTATGGGTTGGCCTTCTCAGTTGGGGCCTAATTCCTTCCTGTTCTTGGGGTTTCCTCATGTAGAGGACTGCGCATTCCCAAGTCCCCCTCCACAGCTTTCTAGGGGTTGAATTACTGCTAAAACCAGTGAAATAAAACACTCTGCTGAGGCAAATTCATGATAAGCCCAGAAAAACAAACACAGAGTATTCTCATTGTCTGATCTTACAAATGGTTGTGTGAAGTTTTGTTTCAAAATAAAGTGCTAGCCCGCGGCCGTGCCTCCCAGGGCCCCGGCCGGCCAAGCGCGGTGAGCCCTCCCGATGGCAGGCTGCGAGGAGGTGAGCGTGTCTGGCTTGGAGGAGTTCCGCTGGGCCGTGGAGCAGCACCATGACAAGACCATCGTCACCTACTTCACCAGCTCTAAGGACGCTGGGGCAAATAGCTGCTGCCCTGACTGCGTGCAGGCTGAACCGGTCGTACGAAGGGCTGAAGCATATTAGTAAAGGATGTGTGTTCATCTACTGCCAAGTGGGAGAGAAACCTTATTGGAAAGATCCAAATAATGACTTCAGAAAAAAAACTGAAAGTGACGGCAGTGCCTACACTACTTAAATATGGAACACCTCAAAAACTGGTGGAATCTGAGTGTCTTCAGGCCAACCTCGTGGAGATGTAGTTCTCTGAAGATTAAGATTTGATGATGGCAGTTGTGTCTTGATTTCCTGATTTCCTCTAGTATAAACGCAATTGCATACTTGCTTTGAATTCATGTTAGCAATAAACAAATGATGATGTAAAAAAAATAAAGTGCCAGGGATTTGAACAGGAGATTCTGGTTGTGTACATGCGGGTGTCGGGTTTGTGTTGGCTTCACAGTTGCCACCATGGACTTACTATTACCCGTGTGCCGGCATTGGATGTGGTCATTTTAAATTCATCCTGTGGACTTTCCTTCAAGACTAGTTTTCAAGGTACACAAGATAATGTTAATGGGTTAAAAATGTACAGAAAAATATAAAGTGATCATTTCCTCACATGGAGCTTTCCTCAGTGCCTTTTAAAAGACTACACAGTTCACATTTTCATAGTGGGCATGCGCCTTTTTTGTGGTGACTGCACTTCTTGATGAGTTAATAAGAGTTTTTGTCTGGATAGTGTGCACAGTTTTCTGTTCTTCAGAATGGAGAGTTGACTCAAAGCCCCCTGCCCTCTTCTGTCCTCTCTCTGGAGGGTGGGGTGTATTGTAGTTGTGGTGGTACTTCTGGCTGAGCCTTGAGTTCAAGAGAGTTGGAGAAACCCCTCTGGAAACATCTTGGTTTTTATCAAAGGTTCTCCTTTGCATGCCTGGGATGCTGACCCCAGTTTGTCCCAAAGCAGGAGTGATGCATTTTCCACTAGATGAAGGACATCTGAGGATTTATTCCCTCAACTTCAAGGTTTTTCCATACAGTCTTAACATGTTCAGTGCCAGTTCCTACTATACACTTACTGCTGTGCTCAGCAGGGTTCTCCTGAGACCTCTGTCCTTCATCCACATGACCACTTAGTGTGTTCTGGGCACACTGTGAGGAGTGGGGCACCTGGGTGACTGAGACGGGAGTCTGGTCCTTGAGCAGGGAGGGAGCTTAATGCCTAGTGTAGGTGAGCAGAGTACACTGAAATCTAAAGAGAAGAAAATTGAGCACATGGCGTTGTTGGATTCTTAATCACCTTGAAAATTTTGTCTCCAAAATAGGATTCTTCTCCATTCTTGAGTGCACTCAGGGTACTGAACCTGAAGGGAGGGTGGTAGTGAATTAGTAAAGTTAGGATAAGTAGCGGAGTGGATTCTTTTTTTTCTTTTTTTAAAGATTTTATTTATTTGACAGAAAGAGACACAGCGAGAGAGGGAACACAAGCAGGGGAGTGGGAGAGGGAGAAGCAGGCTTCCCGCCGAGCAGGGAGCCCAATGCGGGGCTCGATCCCAGGACTCTGGGATCATGACCTGAGCCGAAGGCAGACGCTTAACGACTGAGCCACCCAGGTGCCCCAGCGGAGTGGATTCTTATAAATGTCACAAAAGGTGACATTTAGTGCTCCAAGAAATCATTTATTGTATATCTTATGTGAGTCTTGGACTCTTGTAGGTATACGAAATGCACAAAACACCAAAAGAATTTTGCCCTCATAGAACCTACATTCTGGGTGAGAAAACAGCAATGTTCCTAACTTCCATAGCATGTTAGAAGGGAATAGGTTCTGTGGAAAGGAGAAAAGCAGGACAGTGGTGAAGAAAAACAGAGGAGAGGGAGGAGTCCCGACATTAAGACTGTTCGCACTAGGGCTGGTATGGATGCTGTGTCTGGCATGTGTTTTAAAGAGGTGAAAGAACAATCTATTTCTTCCTTTCTAATGCATATACGTATACATTTTTTCTTGCCATACAACACTAGATAGTTTCCGTAGAGTAATGTTGAAGGCCAGGAGATCCCAATTATTTTTCTTTTGTCTCTGATCTTCGGTGAAATATTAACATCATATGTATGGCGTGTGTTGTAGAATTTTTTCAATGTTAAAGGAAAATCCATTCTATACTTTGTATTTTTTTTTAAAGCCAAGAATGGGTGAATTAGCATCAAATTATATTTTATGCATCATGAGTTGATGATGATACCATTTTGTATGAAGTAAAACGTATTGATTTTTGAATTTTTAAATTTTTCAGCTTTAAACTTACAGTAAGTACAAGAATAGTATGAGATACTCTTGTATAAATTCTACCCAGATTAAACAATTGTTTGTTCTGCATCTTTTGTTTTATTAGTCTCTCCCCGCATACATGTGCATATGTGGGTTTCTGAACAATCTGAATTAATGGGTAAATATATTGCCTCTGTACAAGTGAATGCTTCAGTGCATGTTTCCTAAGGGCACATCTTATATTATCAGAATATTATCCTATCAGGAAATTCAGTATTGGTAAAATACTATTATGTAATCCACAGGGCATGTTCAAATATTACCATTTGTCCTAATATTGCCCCTTGGTGTCTTTAGGGGTCCATGACCAAACCCAGATGGTATGAGGCATTTGGTTGTCATTGCTCTCCACTCCTTTAATGAAAGTTAATTAGCCTTTGAGTTCCTTGGATATGATAGGTCATGAATTCTGTAGAATTTCCATCTGTTTCTCTGATGTTTCCTAATGATATTTTCCTTTTGCATTGTTTACACTGAAATCACAGAAGTGATATTGTATCTTTCACAGTACTTCATATCAGGAGGCACATGGTGTCCATGTTTACCAATACGGATAGTAACTCCAGTCACTTCTGTATGTTTGTGTTCTTAAGAATTACCATTTCCCTTTATTTTTTGTAACATTTTAAGAGTTTATTTGAGCAAAAATTGATTCAAATTGGGCAGCATCTAATCTGGCAGATAGAAGGGAACTCCAAGGAGCTGTACAAAATGAAATACTTTTGGGCCGCCTGGGTGGCTCAGTTGTTAAGCGTCTGCCTTCAGCTCAGGTCATGATCCCAGAGGCCTGGGATCGAGCCCTGCATCGGGCTTCCTGCTCAGTGGGAAGCCTGCTTCTCCCTCTCCCACTCCCCCTGCTGTGTTACCTCTCTTGCTGTCTCTCTCTCTCTGTCAAATAAATAAATAAAATCTTAAAAAAACAAAACAAAATGAAATACTTTTATAAGGGAGAAGGAAGTTGGGACAAAGAAGTCATCCTAGGCAAAAAGTGGGTTGGTTCAGACAAGGTCACTTTCCTTCAGGAGATGGCTGGAGTCCATCAGGCAAAGTACCTGACTAGTGCTGATCAGGAGATCCTGATGGTTTATGGTTCCATTTTTGGGAGAACCAAACTATAATGAAGTCTTGGTTTGGTGACATAGGGCTTAACATAAGGGACTCCATGTTGGGCCTGTTGTTTTATTTCCCTTTATTTTTAGTAGGTAATTATTCAGAAGATGTTTTGAAACTGCGTGAATATACTGATCCACATCAGTATTTGACCCCATAGTTTTAGCCACCACTGATGATTTTCAAACCCCAACAGTCTTCCCACATTTATTAGTAGGCATTCTACTTGGGAAGTAAGTTTCCCAACAGCTTGTTCACTCATTTTTTATTAATATACATCAGTATGGAATAATGCACACTTAAATATATAAGTGGGCCATTCATTGTGATGCTTAAATCTTCCCGGGTTGGGCTCAGGGGAGCTCCTTCTAGCTTGCTTCTTTGTCCCTTTTAACATCACCGTCACACTGTGGGTACAACTTTCTGGTACAAAAGAGATTACAGTTTCATCTTATAACTTTCCTTAACCTACCAGGAATCAGTCTTTTTTTCAGGAGGTTTTCTTTTTGGTAGAGACCAGCGTTGAGAAATCAAGAACTGGGTACGGGGTGTGCTGAAGGGCACGTTAACCATTGCTTCTAGGCCACCTTTTGACTACATAGAGTGTACTTTATTGGTTTTTTTTTTTTTTAAGATTTTATTTATTTGACAGAGAGACACAGTGAGAGAGGGAACACAAGCAGGGGGAGTGGGAGAGGGAGAAGCAGGCTTCCTGTGGAGCAGGGAGCCCGATGAGGGGCGAGATCCCAGGACCCTGGGATCATGACCTGAGCCGAAGGCAGACGCTTAACGACTGAGCCACCCAGGTGCCCCTAGAGTGTACTTTTTAAAAAACATTTATTTTAGAGTGTGAGTGGGGAGAGGGGCAGAGGGGGAGGAAAAGGGAAGGGAGAGAATCTCAAGCAGACTCCTGGCTGAGTGTGGAGCCCCACAAGGGGCTCGATCTCACAACCCTGAGATCATGACCTGAGCTGAAACCCAAGAGTTGGACGCTTAACCAACTGAGCCACCCAGGAGCCCCTCACTACAGAGTTTATGTTCATAGATGCTACCCATGCCATGACAGAACCAAAACCACTGAAGTTCAGGAAATGTTTTAAGCTTTTTTAAAGTAGGCTCCACACCCAACATGGGACTTGAACTCATGACCCCAAGATCAAGAGTTACATGCTCTACCAACTGAGCCAGCCAGGTGCCCCAGTGTTTTAAACTTTTTTTTCCTTTTATTTAAAATTTAAATTCTAGTTAGTTGACATACAGTTCAATATTGGTTTCAGGAGTAGAGTTCAGTGGTTCATCATTTGCACATACCACCCAGTGCTCGTCATAACAAGTGCCCTCCTTAATACCCATCACCCACCTCCCTCCACCAAGCCTTGGGAATACACAAATAACTACAATTTGAGGACTGACAAATGCATTTACCCATGAAACAACTTCCCAATCAAGGTATAGAACAAATCCATGATTCCAGAAAAGGCCCACATGCCTGATTCAGTAAATCTCTGAAAGTCAAATCGCTTTTCTTATTTTTTCATTGTAGTTTTTCTCTCATTGATATCTAAACTTTGCCTGTCCTGAGTTTTATGAAATGGAAATCTTCAATTGGAAGTATTAACTATATTTATCAATTTTAATTAAGATTTTTTACTTTCTCTGGATTTTTTAAAAAAGATTTTATTTATTTATTAGAGAGAATGAGGCGGGTGGAGGTGGGCAGAGGGAGAAGTAGGCTCCCTACTGAGTAGGAGCCCCAATGTAGGGGCTTGATCCCAGGACCCCAGGATCACGACCTGAGCTGAAGGCAGATGCTTAACCGACCGAGCCACCCAGGCACCCCATGGATTTTTTTTTTCTTTTTTTTTTTTTTTAAAGATTTTATTTATTTATTTGAGAGAGAGAGAATGAGAGGGAAGAGGGTCAGAGGGAGAAGCAGACTCCCTGCTGAGCAGGGAGCC